ACCCACAAATTCTAATTGAATATAAGGACATAGTTAATGTTATGGATGAGTGGAGGCCAATCACAGATTCATTGTCAGGTGTTCTTTTGTATCAACATCATTTGTTCATCGATGAGTCGTTTGTACCCCTCTACACATTCACAAAACAAAAAAGGATACATTTAGTATCATAAAATACAGATCAATCAGGATTGATTGTCATGTTAAAACAAAGGGGCTAAATTTTCAGTAGAGATTGCCTCATCATCGCTTGTCTGCATTTCGATGGAATGCATTGAGTGAAAAGAGGGGAACAATGTGAAATGTCTTAAACAGTATGTACACATGGATGTATGCAGCCAGTCAGAACATAATAACGGCCAGACTTCAGAATTTCTGCAATAGTGGTATTGCATCAGTGTGAAGATGAAATCTAATTAAGAAGCACACATTAATATGGCAGAATGTAAGAAGAACATACAGTTAATAAAAGGATTCTATGTATGCTATTCATCCCATCTACCTAATTAAGTTTTTGTAATTTAAAATAAATGGTTCATGGATCTCATACAGCTTCTAAAAACAGTGACGATACCGGCCAGGCAATTTGTTCCAGACTCTCACAACATTTGTGTAAATACAGTACCTTATGTACCTTTTTTTCAGTTTTACTTCCTACTGTAGGACATTCCTTTAAGCCTAGGAATGTGCCTGGTACTGTAGCTCATTGAACAGCAAAAAATAAAATGTTATAAAATGTGCAGGTAGCATTTCAGAATATAATTTGAATGTAGATTAGTTAGCAATAAGATAGAAATCATGTTAATAAATCCTTAAGCAAGATTCGTTAGCAAAGGTGTGAGACTATGCTCTCTAGAGAAACAAAAGTGAAAATGAACTTGCTCTTGTTAGTACACATCACAGTACAAAAATCTGTCTTTGGATATGATTCCTTTGTTTTACGTGCAAACTCCAGCATACACAAAAGGCACTACTTACAATACAGTAAGTACATATTTAATGGCAAATGCATCCATGTCAATGGTGTCAGGGCCTTTATATTTCCGAACACAGCACAAGATTTCAACCTTGAAAGTGCATTTTCCCCCCACACTGCATAATGCAGAATCTCACTTCCATTTTTTTTAAGGTGCATGCTCTGATGAAGGTTTAACACTGAAATTTCTTTTTTTTGGCTTTATGTTTTAGAACATGAAAGTGGATTTCTGCAGTATACAGAAGTAATGTTTTTTCACTTAATACTTAATACATACCAGCTGTTGTAACACAAATCAGATGTGATGCTAAAACAGGAATAGGGAATTGTTGAAGTTAGTTTTTGAGCTAGAATTAGCATTGTTTAACTATACTTAAATTATACATTAGATTGTCAATAATTTGTTACACAAAGGGATGTTTTTCCTGAATGGTGATATGAGGTGTGCTTACTTTTTAATGTAATTAAGACATACAGTATTCTGTTCATTTTTTTCTTTGGGGGTATATGGCTCAGTGGTACTGCTCAGTGTTTTACTCTGGAAGGAAATGAACGATCAGATAATGATAAGAATGATCAGATTCCCTTACTAATGTTGAATTTCTAACACGATGCATTGGTTACTGAAAGACATTAAGACAGCTGCTAGAATCACTCCAGAATTTAGTGTGATTTATTTGTACTGTAGTGTTTGATTGCTGGAAGAAATAACGAAGATCAAAACCTAACATTTACGCCTATTAAACAGACACAAAAACTGATTTTAAGGGTTGAGAAATCCAGAAAAGGGGGAACTGTTTTGTAAAACCAATAAAGCTTTCTGATCTATCCAATTTCTGGCAAACCATTCACTGAAAAAGGATAGATGGGTTCAGACTGCAGTAACTATGACATCACCACTGGACGTACTGTAGGTCAATAGATCATTCAGTACTTTACTGATGTATTGTCAATTAAGGCACCATGACATACAATTTTATGTCTTAAAATTGGCACAGTGTGTAAAATGACTGTGGCTGATAACTCTAGCACCTCTACGTACTCAACATGCATCACATTCACTTCTTGAGAAACATTCCCAAAATCTGCAGCTTTCAACGTATTGTACATAAATCCTAGTCCAGGTCCTGGTACTCTTCTGCCTAGATGGTTGTTACTCTCTCTGACAGCTCATCCATACCTCTGTGGATTACTAGTCTTTTCTCTTTCTTCTGCTGGATCTGGTATCTGATTTAAAACCCTAGTTCTCGCCTCATGGTTGTCTTCAGTCTCTCATCTCTCCCTACTCCCCCTCCCTCTCTGCTCCTGAGTTTCCGTCTGACTTTCTTTACCCCCTGTCTGATCCCCACTTCCTAACTCCACACCCTCTCCCCACAATGCTGGAATCAACTACCCTCAGAAGTTCTCACAGTATCGGTTCCTGACCACCTTGCTCAAACTTCAACCATTTAAAAGCCCATTTGATCTCTCAGCTACATCCTAGTGCACTAATGTCTTTTTAATTCTCAGAGTGGTAATGTAACTAATTGCACTTCATCATTGAAACAAAGTATTTCAGATGTTGGTTTTGTTTGGCTCTTTACACACATGGTTCTTTGTCCTTATGCTTGATATAAATTTCCAACACTGCAATTCATCACTGATATGGACACCTGCTAAGAATAATAAGAAAAATATGACCACAAGGTATATTTTCAGGCACTAAAGCATTAAAGTTTATGAAGTTTACGATAAATGATTGTGAACGTGTTTAGTGCCTCTGTACCTGAACAGAAAGTTGAAATCTCAAGTATCACAAAAATGATTCAGATTTCCCTTCACTACATCTGAGAATTGCACATATTTCTATTCACTTAATTCCTCAGTAAGTTGTACTGAAACATCACACTGGAGCCTGCATCCTGTGAGTTATTGCTGTATGACCAAAGACAGAACAGGGGTGGAGGCTGGCTGCACTGTTTCTGCCAAGAGAAATCAATCAGCTAGATTTATCCATTTAGAGACTCCAATCTCAGGACTCTTATGCTGTACCACACTCCCCAGACCTTAAGAATAACATGAAATTCTGTGATTTCAGGACTCAGGAGAGGTTAAAACTCTAATATATTCATTTTATTTATTTTTAGAAATGAGGGAACCACTTAGTGTGTCTGTTCTGTTTAGAAGCTTGTATCAATTTACTTATAAGATAAAGCAGCAGTCCTTCTCTCAGCCTGCTATTCACTTGCAGTATTGTCCTAACAATACAAGATTAGATGCTTTCCCTGACTTTTCCCCTCTAGTTCACAAATTACAATCATTACCCTGTTTCAAATACAATCCAGAAAAGTCATTTTCAATTTTGTTGAAAGTACTTGTCTTTATTTCTTGCCATTATTACAGTATATTGACATGGCTGCAGTCATTCTCAACACAATTGCAGCAAATAAAAGGAATATGGCAATTAGCTAATAATTAAATAACTAAATAAATAATTCAGTTCTTGTTGTTCTGACATGTGGTTTTATAATGGATATTTTAAGAAGATAATTGGAAATCCTATTAAAATTCCGTGTCACAGCCTGCTCCTTACAAGTCGTCCCTAGAGATGGTAATGGCAAAACTTGTCTGACATGTTTGCCGGAAAACACAAAAAGGAGTTCGAAATTCCTACAGTTCTATAACATGAAAAACGACAACTGGTTGTTTGCAGTTTTCGGTTTTTTTCTACATTGCTGTTCAAAATGAAAGCATAACATATCTTTCATTAATAATGTAAGTATAACATAAACATGCCATTTAATTACAGCCCTTCAGCTGTTAAACTGTACAGGATTAAGATTCATCTTTTTAAAAAAATAAATGAAAAGTGTAAGACTCCACCAGCAAAGTCAAAAGGCCATTTGCATTATTTTCTAAATCAAAATAAACATAGCATTTTATTTAGTGTATATTCTTTAAAAAATAAACCATATGGATGATATGTGCTAATTAAATATTTTGGGGATGATTTTGATCAAATAATCACTCATGACTAGCAAAAAAAAAACTAAATTGTCTCATCAGTGGAAGAGTTGATCCGGCACAGGTGGTGAGGTTATTTAACATTTTGAATGTTAATCACGCAAAAAAAAAGAAAGAAAAACAGAAAGGAATCAATATGCTGTGCTTATCAAGGGAATGATGCCTTTGTAGCACTGGTATAATAGACTTTGGCTGTAGTCAACTCACTGTTTACAGCCAGCACTTTTTAAACTTGGCAAGACATTATACAGTACCTGTAGCTAATTATAGTCCATCAATGTCAGGCCACCTTGTCAAGATCGATGGGGAGCTCCGAGTGTGATGCGACGGTCTCTGGTCTGGGCAGGAGTATCTAGGTGCCATAGAATTCACATGTGCTGTTAATGGCAATCTTTCTGTACGGCTCTACATTGATCAAATATCTTAGAAGCGAGATCGCTTGCTTCCCTTCCAGTGAGCTCCAGCAGGCCGAAGCCCGCCCACATGCTGCCTGTGTGTCACAGTCTCCTCCTTCGAGAGTGTAGAGCTGGAACACAGCAGCAACGGCGGAACAGCCACGATTGCAAAGACGTGCAACTGTGTTCCCGAAGTGCACACCCCAAAACACAAAGTGAAAAATAAAAACTAACCAGGGGGGGGAGGATATAGATCGTTGTAAGTAGCTCCTATTCTACACTACGACCAACTTTCTCTTTCTTCCCCTCTCCTATTTTGAAAAGCTCCGTTTCTAGGATAAACCCCCAGAATATGTCACTATAAAGCAAAAACAATTTTACAAAATAATCATCATAATTCTGATATACACATTTCTCCAGTGAGTACACACACAATGAACACATTATTAACAAAACAAATATATGTACATATATATGTGTAAATAAAATGTGTACATAAATATTTTAAAGACAATACTACCCCCTCAGTGGTATCGTCTTATAAATCAATCCACGCAGGCGCAACATTGAAACAGGCACTACTAGGCCAGCCACTGTTGCCATGCCAACGTTTGGGTCCTTCGTGTCGCGGGAGAAACCATTTTGCAGGTGAGTAATCAAAACAACGTATTTATTTGAAACACGTGAGTTAAACACCAATTTAGTTCATTTCACTTCCAAAACAAAGAAAAACAGGTGTTTGGTTTGAGTTAATCTTTAATTTTGATCACACGCAAACAACCTTACTTCACTCTGTGTGTGCACCCACAGAGCAAGCAAAGCTATCGCAGGACATCCAAACCAGGGTGAAGTTTGTTTACGTTTGAAACCAGAGTTATCGCCTTTGTTTGGATGGTGAAATGTTTGCGTATGTGTGTGGCTGTACATGTGAATTCCTCAAAAGTGCTAGGTGATCTGGAACCGGAGACTCCAGTCACCGTGTCATTTGGATTAATTAATCACTCATGACTGATTACAATTATATCTATCAGTACGTATTTCAGTCGTGCCATGGTCGAAATTCAATTAGTTTCGGTCAGATAGACTAGATAAGGTGAATGTTCCCTGCTCTACATGTATTGGTGAATAGACTTGAAGGCAGACGGTAAAGGTTCAAGAGGGCACTGTCTCGGTTAATGTTCTCTTTAGCCATGCTAGGAATCAGTAAAGGATCATTGACATGAAGTGAACTTCCTTCACACATTAGGAATCAAAATAAGAGATAAGGGAAAAGCTGGACTGTATTGAACCACAAACATAGATTTACTATGGGTTTAAGCACCTATCTCGTGGTAGGATGATAGAGATGGATGTGTGGCTGTTGTGGACCTACTTACAATCATGGAAGGCATCCAGCAGCTTGTGGCTCTTGAACTCTCCATTGGCACCAGGTTGTGGCAGGTGTAAAATTCTCTAGAGGCAGGCACACACACACACATAGAGAATTGGATCAAGAAGATAAGGTGTTTGTTAAGCAAGGTACTGCAAGCTGTCTGACAATTCGACAAAACATTTGGGATAGGAGGCTTCTCAAACAGGCTCTGATTTCTCACGGTCTGGACTGGGAGTTTCTCCCAGAGGTGTTAAAGCAGGATCCACAGTTTACAGGGCCAAAAGGTCTAACTGACAACTGGAGGACAGGGTCTTGGAAACACTCAAGACTGCTCCTTCCTTGAAACCCAAGTCTCCATAGAAACCATGAGAGGAAGTCATTGCTACTGTATTAAGCAATGAATGATGCTGTGCTTTGAGAACATAGCGAATCGGACAGATTGTAATTTTGCTTGAAACAAAAATCTTCAGGGCTTCAGTCTCAAGATTTTTGATGGTGCTTAAGACCAGAGACTTTAAGGGTCTTCTTAACAGGTATCTCTGTTTATGTCAGTTTGTATCTCAGTCCCTCCCATTCTTGAGACCTGTGTCTCATTTACCCCGGAATGGTGGCAAACATTAGCTCATCTGCCATGGTCAGAAGAAGTCCCAACTTTATCCAGAGACGAAGGGAGGCAAACTCTAGTGTCTATGGATTTCTGATGCTGCAGAATCTGAAGAACAAGGCTAAGAAATTTGGTCTGGATATAAACTGGATTAAAATCCAGCCCCTGTGTCGCAACAGAATTGGAAAACACAAGGTGATAGGAATGAATGTGGAAGCCATCAGCTCCATCACCTACCATGGCTTCTGCTCACATAATACCAATGGTGAGGCCAGAGTCAAACAGCAACATGTCATCCCTCACTGGGGTATTGTCCTGAGTGTTCAGCTGTGCTGGTAAAATTCCCATGTTTTCCTGGTGCTGTTGTATGGTGCTTTATCCTGATTTCTTAACATTCGGTACAGAAGGTCAGTACCTCTGGCCAGTGGTTCCTTCTGTGTATTCTTAGAAGTCCACATACAGTATTGTCCCAAAGTACAACACCAGTGAGAACAACATATTATACTGCAACACGTTCTTCTTTGTCAGCAGATTGAAGGCTGCAGTAGATTGTTTTCTGAACACCAGATTTAACCTGTCAAGGCACTGAAAGAAACCCTGCGGCTGAACCAGACCACTGCATGAGATCTCTTAACACTTCACTTGCCGACCTCATATCAGATCAAGGGCTCAGGATGCATGTTAAATGGTATGACCTCATGGGAATGGCTAGACTCCTGGTGACATCTCAGAATCACTTACTCTCGGCATGATTATACTGTGTGATGAGATGTTCATTTCCACTTCAGGGTGCCTGTCTGTAGTCTGTATGCTGTTCCTATGTTCACATACAGTAGATTCATGCCAAGTGCTCAGTCTTCTTCCCACTCAGTGATATTCAGGTTTGATCATTTATTGTAAACTGTCCCTTTACTAGCAGAGAGCTTCAGAGTATTTTATACTATAGAGTACTGATATACTTATACTAACTAATACTGGCTATGGGAATTTAATGAAAAGAGCCCAATGAACACAATTGGCTGAATGCCCTCTTTCTGATTTTCTGATATTTTTTGGTGGCCTTTCTGACATGCTGATATTTTGTTTCCTGATCTGAATTTGCATCTGCGTTACAAGGTCATTAACACTCAGGAGAAGCGAATAGTTCATTTTCTAGCCAGAGTCTGTAGGAAGAGAGAGGGAGATCAAGATCTGCGTGTCCCTGGTGGATCCCTAGTAAAACTAACAGTTTGGTAATGATTACACTAGAGCTCCCTAGATCAGATAACTCTCTGCAGGCCTTGCACAATGTGTTGTTTAATGAGGTGAGCCAGTGAGGGCTTATACTGTACATGATTATATTCTGACACAATCACACAAGGAAGTGCAGAAATTTCTTAATACACAATGAACATTCTTTACCTTGTTGTTATAAGGAGCACAAAAGAATTAGGGGAAGACAACTGCTGTCAACTAAAACATGAATATGCAGCATGCACAGTACAGTTTCACTTCATCCCCAAGTCCTACTTAAGTACACATTAATGCCCAAGCTGTCTTTTATCTTAACAGCTATATTACAAGACGTAGGAAATAAACTCTTACCGCTTTCTGACTATTCATTGCATTCATTCTTTTGCTGTAATCTCTTGTTTTTGTAAAAAAGCCTTTTTAACATTCAGTTTGCACAAAAATTTAACTTACTTATGTGGCCATTAATTATGAAATAGTGTCAGTGTTTTAGAAATATAGAAAGCCTGTAAGCCTTATATTCACTATCATCTTTGCATTCCTGAACAAATTAACTTCTGTTTTTTTATGATATACTGTATATGTACCGTATGTAATATTATGTAATAACTATATTTTAAACACAGTGAAAAAAGTAATCTGAAAGCAGCAATACATTTTAATGCAATGCTGGAAATCTCCCAAGGGCAGTCTTTGTTGTTTGGAACTAATGGAACATTTTCAGCCTACAAATAAAACCGAACAGAGAAGATTTACTGAGCAAACAATGGATAAAAAATGAGATTCGAAGAGTACTTTACAATCTTGATTCCCAGAAAAGCTAGATTCCCATTAAAATGTCTTCTCCAAGACTGTTCACATTTCCGTGGACAAGTCTGCAAAATTAAACAACCCCCAGAAAGAGAAAAATGAAAAAGTGTTAACAACTGTCAGATCCTTAGGCACTTTCTAATTGGAGGCTCTTCCCGGGGGGCTGAGATGTGCCTGAATTTCTGTCATTATAGAAGTGATTACCGTATATATTATTAATCAAAAGACTCAGAGCATTGATCGCTTGGCAGCACAGTTATTTTACTTTGTAAATGAAGCATACCTTGTTAATATTTTTGCGTGCACGCAGCCTGATTGCCCTGGACTTATTCTAATTTTTAACAGAGAGCCTCCTGATTTTATAACTCTTCAGGGAATCCACATTGAACATATAACATATATTGGAGCAGTTTTACGAGATTACTATTCTATCAGTGAGCCATGTGAAACAATTTGTTATCTTAACCCTTGTTCCACGACGAGGATTACAGTCGTTACTGTACGTGGTGTTGCCACATGCTGAGCATGTACTGTAAATCAAAGCCATCCATTTGGACCATGTCACATCACCTAGCCCTTCTTCTTCTGAGCAGTTCCTGTGAGAGTTAGTCTGTTACGTGGCCAAAATGAGAAACAAACTGTGTTCCTTTTCAGGGAACCGGGGTTAAGATAGTAACCCAACATTCCCTTTCAGATGCCCACTGGTCAAAGGTACTGATAGTCTGTACTCCAATGGTTGGACAAAAGTTTACTCTGGACTCACCACCACAGATAGCTTCCACATCGATTCCCATCACTGCACCTTGTGCGTCCAAACTTTGTTGCCATACATCCAGACCAGAAGCCCTAGTTTTGTTCTTCTGGATCTGCAGCATCTGCAAGAGTACCATCATCATTACACCCTCCAGTAATAGATTGTTGATGTGGTCTATGTTTTTGAAGAGTTATAAGCACATTAAACAACATTTGTTTTTGAAGAAACTTGATGCAATCTTGGAACTGATTCTGGTATTTAAACAATGTACTGTAATATTTCGCTATTCGATTACATATTGACTACAGCTTCAATGATTTCCATTAATTCTACCCTGTTTCTCAGGTTCCTTGGACTGTACTTATTTATTATCGGGACTGTACATCAGAAGCTCTATCTGTTTGATAGCAGCTTCACAATTCAGGTTCAACTGTTAAGAAATAGGAAATATAATAACCAACTTATGTGCATATTAAAATTATTCTCCATAGACATTTCATTCCAGAAAAGGAAGTTTTAGTTCACATTTCATTACCGAACAGATTTTCCTTGATGAGGTAATCACCCATCACGTGGGGGCAGGGGGCACAGACGGTAGCCCCCATCCTGTTCTTACGGCACCAGGATGTATTTACGTGCGATGCAGATGCGGCCAGTTGCTGTGGTGACCAGAGGCTGTGAGCTCAAGCAGGTTTAAATGTTATATTTGTGAATAATAACTTCAACCTTTATAGAATCCAATTCATGACACATACCCAGTTGTTGACAATATATCTATTGTAGCTTAACATAAGATATTATGGTGGAACTCATTATATAACATACCTGTATACTGTATGTTGATATTAACAGGGGACTAACACATTAAAAATGTTACGGAATTTGCTTAAGATTCAGTGTATTTTGAAAAAATATTATTCTGATACCAATTCTCTGGAGCCATGGCATGGCAGAACAAAAAACATTTTATTAATAAACATAAATAAATTAATACATTCATTAATGAAAAAGTTTTTATTTTCATGTTATTTTATTGTTATATCCAGTAAATAGAAAATATATTCAATTAGTTTAAAAGGTCATGCAAGTACAATTATTAAAATATGTCGAATTTAATTTATCATTGCTTAAATCTTATGACTTAAACCTATCAATAAATTCACTGGAACTGTATTCATGCTTTGATTGCATAATCTTTTTCATCTTATTACATGCATGTTTATATTTTGGGTTTTAATTGAAAATGCATAAACCTATAATTTTTTAAGTGCATGATAAAAATTACTTTGAATAGTTCTGAAACCTTCTTAAAGTTTCAATTAAATGACGTAGAAAATGCTATAGACCTGCTTAATTCATTGTAAATACAGTACGTTCTGCAGAATATAAGATCTATCATTCAGGGATCCTGGACAAAATATTACTGTTTAATAACACTGAAGTAAAACATATTAGTATTTTACTTATTACAAATAGGTTTTTGTCACATTTACCATTTTTTCTGTACTAAATGTGCATTGAATTGAATTGTTAGTGTTTCATTTATTGCAAAAAAAGAAATGAAACTTGCTTACAATCTATCTTAAGTGCCTCTATCTAAAATGCAGTTTAACAAGAATTAATGATGCCCACGAATGAGATGATTTTAGGATATTTGTTGAGTATGTGGGCATTGTGAAAGTAGGAGAATCAGCTGGGTTCACTGTTCAACTTCTACTTCTACATGATTTATTGATTAACACCTGTCAACAATTCTGCAGAGGAGCCTTCATCAGGACAAATGTTTTTGGCCAGACAGACATCTTTTACAGACGAGAGATCCCTATTCGCTGATATTCCATAGCTTTTTTAAAAAAGGAAAACCATGAGGTAAATGGATCCGTCTGGCCATAAATGCAATTAACAACTATTTACCAATGTATCAAAATACACCATGAATACACATCAATAAATGTTCAAAAATCCATTTATTTTTATATGTGATATACTGTATACTGTATACAGTATTTGATTTTGATCAATTCTAACCCACTTGGCTGAGGGCCAGCCCCCTGGCCATCCAGAGGGAGCAGGGAGCCGAGGGGCAGCTGAAAAGCTGGAGAGGGGGCGGAGGGGGGGATGCATGAAGCAAAATGAGAAAAGAGATGAATTTGCATATCCCGCAGTACTGTATATACAGTGCCTTCAGAGAGTATTCAGACCCCTCCACTTTTTCCACACTTTTGTTGTGTTGTTAGACTTATTTCAAAATGGATTGACTTGATTCTTTCTCGCCAACAATCGACAGGCGATATCCCGTAATGACAAAGTGAAAACACGTTTTGAGGAATTCTTGCAAATTTCTTAAAAATAAAAAACTGAAATCTCCCATTTACAAAAGTCTCCAGCCCCTTTATTCAGTCCTTTGTAGGACCACCTTTAGCAGCGATTACAGCTGCGAGTCTTCTTGGGTGTGCTTCTACCAGCTTTGCACACGTGGATTTAAGCAGTTTCTCCCCTTCTTCCTTGCAGTGGAGGGGTCTGAATACTTTCTGAAGGCACTGTATACAGAACGCAGTATAAATATATACATATATGCATTCTGTATATACTGTACATATACACAGTATATATGTACAGTATCATATATCAGGAGACTTTGAGAAATGACATTGGGAATGATTTAGCTGGGATGATGGTGACATGATTTTCGTCATCCCTCCCGAGGTTTTTGAGAGTTTGAGAGTTTCCTCCTGTGGTATACCGCTGGAAGCCCTTTTTTCTACATGTCACTCTTGTTTTGTGGCTGCAGCAGCTCTTGACCCAGGTGTGTCGATGACCGTTGGTTTAACTTCAGGGCAACACTGACAGTACAGCATCTGCAAAATTCAAAATGGCTTAATCATGCATTGAAAAAAGTTTTAGCATTAAAGTCATGGTTTTGCATTCATATTCTTCGTGACTGGTAGAAATTCTACCTTAGAAATAAGCAAGCCAGCATCATCAGCAGCTGCAAATTACTGTAGCTGTTTTGCATTAGAATTTATGCTTTATAAGCATTGATATTATAATTTAATGAATGCAAATTGCAAAGCTTTCAGAATAATGGAAGGGCTTATTTTGCCTTTGAGCTCCCTCTCAGTGTTTTTTGATTACTTGGTGATTCACATGCTGTAATAGCACTCCCAGTTTACACAACTCTTAATTTGCAATTTATATATAATGAAACTTTTTCCATGGTTATTTTATAAAAGTGATTTGTAAACTAGTACCTTCACGGAGGGCTGCAGAAAAACACGAATGATGAATGCTATACACATTTTAAAAAATCAATCTAAAAAAATAAATCATCAGAAATTCATTTAATATCGCTCATCCCATTGTGGTTGAAAGTAAAGATCTAATATGGAAGTGTAAAAGTCCTCTAACTGAAACATGTAAAGAGTTGAAGGTACTACTCACTGTCTTCTTGATTGCATATCCCAATACATGTTTAAAAACCAATGCACTGTCTACAGGTACTGCATGAGTCTTGTGCTAGTGAAATGAATTCATGTGACAGTGACTTTCAGTGTTAATCAAACCTTAGGAGTCTATTTCCAAAATTAAAGAGTTATTACTCAAGGACTCACTTCCTGAATACAGGCAGTCTTCATTCATGGAGTCGATGGCCATTGAATTTGATCAATGCTGTTAAGCACGCTGGCTCTAGTCAGCATATGAAATATACATGACAGGAATGTGTAATATCACATTCAGCAAGTTAAAGCGTCGGTGTCTTGAACGCAATCAGTACATTTCATAAGATATTACGTCTCCCACATCGAAAGGTGTGGCAATTCATGCATTTTATTTGACGGATTCTATTTTGTTACTTGTAGCCCAGGGATATTACATTATTGCAGCCACACAGCCCCTGAAGCATACCTGATGTGAAGAAATGAGGCCTGGCAGCATTTCAGCTCCGCCATTATACTTGGTTAAGAAGGAAAGGGCTTTAAACAGGTAAAACCACTTGCTGTCCAACGCAGTCTAAATGTAATGCTTTAATGACATTTAGAAAATGTGACACCATCCTGATTTGATCAGATACAGCGCAGATATTTTCTTGAAAGCCCCTGACGGCGTATGCAGGTTATTCAGCATTAATTGAATCTTCATTGTACTTCCCTTTGAAAGAGGTAAAACTACGTTTCAGTGATTTTGCTTTTGATCCCTCTATCACTTTCCCCCTGATTCCGCCAGAGATTCTTGATTCATTAATAATTGCTGCATAGAATTCATCAAAGATGATGCATTTTGAAATATTTTCGATGATATACAGTAGCTGCCAAACCCTTTATTAAATAATAAGAAAAGCAGTTTCCAGTGTTTCCTGGGGGGGGAGCTGGCAAATTAATTTAAAGATGATGCCTTTAAAGCCATAGTCCCAATATAAATAGTAGATCAGAATGTTTGAAAAACATTAATTATGTATTTATTTTGTATTTCCTGAAGAATTAACATGTGAAGGTACGCACAGAAGGAGTGGAATGCTGCGTTTTTTTCCCCACATAATAAAGATATATGGTTTATGCATGCATTTGCAAAATCCATTGCTAAAGAAAAAGAAATGGACTTGTAAGGATAATTATTTTTGATTGCATAGCTCTTGCATTTCTAGATTATTGCATTGTCTTATTAATCTTAATAAAGGACAAAGGAAGGAGTACAAACTTCAGCCAGTTAATGGATCAAAGCATGAAAAGTACCAATAAACTTACTAGAATTAAGCAGACAACATTATCAATGGGTTTCCTGTGGTCCCACCATGTGATGCCATTGTTTTTATCTCTTTCCACAAGAAAGCTTCATTTAAATAGAAAATGTGAAGCATTTTTAGTAGTTAATTTTTAAACAAAGGCAGCAAATTGGAGTCAAAGAAGTAATAGTTAAACTAGACCTGTTTTTCCCCACATTCTCAGCTCAATATAACACTTCAGTCATAATAACATAACAAAAGGTTCCAAAAGAGAAAAGGCCATGTGGTCCATCTGTCTCATTGTGTTTTTGGAAATATGTGGTTTTCAAGTGCTGAAGTAATTAATATAAGCGAAACGTAACCGATAACAGCAGCAAAGCCATACAGTCTTACAGTACTTGTGACGTTTGTGAAGTTATTTTTGTTGATATTTAATGCATTCAAGCACTTAGGATTTCTCTTTTAAAAGGCTCCAAATGTCTTAATGTTTGTTGCTGTTAGTGTCATCTGTTTTATTTAATGAGCTTAAGAAAGTCAAAGAAAATTAATTATCACATTACAAACGCTGCATGAGAAGTGTGTAGTCAAGTGGGAAAATAAAGTAAATTAACATAAAAAACTGGAAGGTGAAAGACATTTAATCGAAAGAATTTGTAAATATTCTATCCTCATGTCTCTAACCTCTTTGTATCGTGCCTTTTCAGTACAGTGTTTCTAACCTAAACTACTATATTCAGAACAGTTATTCGTTGGTGATGTACCCATGGTGTATATCCTCCATGAATCAAACCGAAAGAAGGGCTCTGAGGCATTGCAAAACTCAGATTGCTCATTGCAATATTGTAATTGTCTCAAGCATGCTGAGTGTGAATTCAAAATACAGAAGAACATTTCTGCGCTTTGGTGTAACTGAGCTAAAATGTTACAGTATATTGTCGTTTTATAAATTTCCCCTGATTATTTTCCTAATTAAATCATCTGTCAAAGCAGACTGAAATGCAGAAAAAAACAGAAAAGGATGCAGAGCCTATGCTGTTAAGTTGTTTTGAAAGCAAAACCAAACAGAGTACTGCTTGTATAAGGAAGGATGACAAATACCCTAATATCTCCTGCTATTTTTAACATGATGACACCTAGCTTGGATCAGTACTTATGAGTACTGAATCATTTTTGCCAGAACTCTGCTAGCAGGTTCTTTTGGGAACCTAATGATTAAATGAAGATTCATGTATTAAAATGGAATATTTCTTTAATCAGCTTTTAGAATAAATGCATACAGGTACAGTACAATGTCAATGCAAGGATTTCTCATACTGCCTATGTGTTTCAGCAAAGTAAACCATGCAGGTGAAATTAAATGTCGTTTTAGCATAATATTATTGAAATAGAAATTTATCAATACTGTATGTCAGTAAACATGTTAGAAAGCTCGTAGATAACTGGCATGGATCATTTTCAGAGATCACAAATCCCTCAACTGCTCTTAATATGCAGCTTGTGTAATTAGGTACTCTTCAGCTAGCAACACTGTTTACAACTTTCAGGTTAACTATTGCATTTAGATCAGACAGGTATGAAAGAATGAAAAAAGATCATATACTGTATAAGTTTAATCCTTGATTATTGCATTGCTATATAGTGGTTGTTAGAAGATGAGAGAGATCAAATCCCCGAGCACACACAGGCATGCTCCTCAGTTTTACATTCCAAGCCTTTTTTTCTGTATGCATAGAGCAACTGCTTACAGAAGAATCTGGCAGGCAACTGCATAATGATGTAACACAAAGTAGATTGTCGAAATGCAACAACACCTGCCTAGACCCATTTCATCAGAAACAAACGTCTTTACAATCACTAACAAAGTGCTATGCAAACTGCTGGAAGTCTCCTGGGATATAGGATTTATGCCAGTACTGTTCTTACATGTCTGTGTAAAAGAGGAATTAATTCTTCTCAGCCTGTTCAGTGCACACATCTTGACCCCAAATATATCCAGACTTAACACATCCAGTGGAAAAAGAGGAAATGGAAAGATGTGCTTTTTCCTCATGAATAAAAATGTAATTCCCATTGAGTATCACTGGTCATCAAGATCCCAAACAAAACTTGAGAAAGAATTCATCAGAGCATGGGACGCCATTCCTCAAAGTCACTTCATATTCTGGTCAGGTCAATGAGTCTTTGATGTAATGTGATCATTGCTGCAAGGAGTGGACATAAGCAGTATAGAAAATGACTTCTTCACCTTGAGCTGTCTAGGTAAGAAGTGCTCAAACAGTAATGGTAATTATTGTGAAATATAATGTGAAAGATATTGCTTTGTGAAATTTGAAATGTAACACAAAAGCATGTGGATTATCTATGGCTTGTGTCATAGCTAATATATTCTAGCTACTCTCATGAATTAGCTGCATGAGACTGTTCAAGTCAAAACACAACAAAATGACAACTTAGCTAGAGAATGCATTTGCATTAATATTGATCAATTTTCTCTCATCCCATTAGTGTTAGATTTTGAACTAAATCTTGTTTTAAGAAAATAATATTTTCACTCTTACCTATTCTACAGTCTCAAAATAGAAGATGCAGGCATACGTTAAAGCCATTTAGTAATGCGTAATGCATGTTACACTCCAGCAGAACTAACACATTTTCTCAGTATCTTGGGTTAACAATACAGCTGTTTTATATTCATAGAATGTCACCAACTAAACTATAAAACTTTTCTGCAGGGTAATCTGTAATTAAGCATTGAAAATGTAATCACATTTTTATTTTTTTTATATTAACTCTTAGTTTTAAATTCTAGTATGTATCACTTGCTGTGTGTAAAAAAGAAAGCTATTGGCTACAAAGCTTTTCTGAGATCTTGCTGAGTTGCATCATAAGGTGTTTTATGTAAAGCTGAGAGAAAGGAGAAAAAGCATATAGAATTACAGAAGGAATTACAACATGACCTTTTTTCAACTGATTATGCTAATAAGATACATTATTTCATATTCTTCATTTCAAAAAGAAAATAGTAGATTTGCCAAGCAATTTCCATTTAAATTGAAATTACTTCTTTTCTGCTTTAATTAAAATAAGCCTCTATAATAGTAATAAATAGGAAATTAACTGGGCCAAGCAATTCAGTACTTAATAACTAGCAATTTCCATTAATTTAATTTTGATTAGTGGCATACCTCACAATTTATGTTTCTTCTTCCCCACCACGTAGCCAGCCATATTTCCCCATACATTACTTAAATAAAGGGTAGCACTTTTAATGCCATAGTGATCTGTTCTTTTTTTTAATAAATGCATTAAATTAATATACAGTATAGAACACGGGCTGTCTGCACATTGAAAACATCCATTGTAGATAATAAAGTAAAACGCTCTCTGTCAACACAAGTGTGGTATATATAAATATATACTGCATATGTATGCAAAACACAAGTAAAGCTTTCATAAAGTTCAGAGCGACATCTTAAAGCCATGCTCTGAGTGGAGTGGGTTCTAGAATGTCACATACAGTACAGTACAGTAACCAGAAATTGGTATTTCATTTTTGCAACTCACAAAAAATAATCTTCTAGTGTAGAATAGATGGATGTTGCCAGCATTTCCTGCAGCATTGCTCTGTGTATCAACAGTACTTTGACAGCATTTTTAGTATTTGTTAAGTGTTTTACCCCTCATTGTTCTCTCCTGTTTTATTTATCTGTTCATCATGTTGTGATGCTGGATCACAAATGTCTAAGGGTTGAAGTTCTCACAGGCAGGTATGATTTTGATTCAGCATTCCTGATGTGAACACAATTTAGATTAACCATTCAATTAATATAACAGAACCCGCCAACAGAGTTCTGTTAAGTTTTCAGGTAAGCCAACATCACATTGTTTTTTCATTGTTTGCAACACCAGAGGTCTTGTTTGATTGTACACAAACACAAATACACACATATCTTTTTGTACAAAATCCAGGCGTAAAATAAACACAAAGGTCTTACAAAAAGACTGGAAACCACTTTTCCCAAAGGGGATTGGACATAGGACAAGACTGTCAAAACTCAAAATTCTGGTCTGGAGGAGAGTGCCACCTACTGGTTTACCATGGCCACTTACAGCAGTGGTCTCTGACCATAGTACTGACCAGCCCTGCACTGCATAACTTCTGAAAAACACAGAGTGTCATCTTTGGAGCACAAAACAAGGTGTTTTTAATTTCTTTTCTTTTCAGCCTGGAATGAGTAAAATTAACGATGCCATATCTTTGGGT